TGTCTGAAAAAGCTCTCCATAACACCATAGAGTGTTCATATTTTAGTTGCAAAAAAAACAGGAAAAATCTTGAAAAAAAATCCGTTCACTGAGCCATATGAACTAGCAAGGGTCATAATTCATGTTTTTTTCCCGATCTCAAAATCTAATAACCCCGGACTATTTTGTGCGCGAGCTATTAAGTTGATCTACTTCAAAGTTTTTTTTTATTTTTTTTTTTTTTTATATATAACCGTCGCTGAACAGCAGACCCAATTTTATGGGTTTACGACCACTAATGTTAAACTCCGTAGCCTTTTAATTTTGGACCGAATCCAGAAGACAAAGGAACTTCTGGATCAAGTACTGGGAGAAATTTGCTTTCATGGAAAACTTTTTGATGGAGCTAATCTGCATTTGCGTTACAGGGAATGGAAGACCAGCAGAACCTCCCACGGTTAGCCTGACGGCAAGAGGACTCTAACCCATGATCCGTCTACCACTGGGGATATTTCAAGTCACCACTACTGTGGTCAGTGCAAGCCGGATGCAGAATTCGTATCGACTGGGATTCGAGCCCGGTTCACCTCATTGGAAGGCGAGCGCTCTATCCCCTAAGCCATCGCGGCTCACTCTAACGGTTTCCAATTTTTAACAACTACGAAACTCTAAATCATCGAACATATTTTGGCCGAACCTCAAATATATAAATAAAATTTATCAGCAGCTGTGAACATATTAACACTAAAAAGACTGAAACTTAGTTTGTATATACCTATATTGTCCAAAAGCAGTCAAAATGACTGGATTGTGAATGCGTAAATAAATTTGTTTAAAATTAATTTTTAATATTTTTTATATTATTTACAAGTACATAACAAGTTAATAGTAAATATTAACAATAAAAAAATTGTATGCTATAAAAAAGCTATAAGAAATTGTGTCATTATATACATCATTGTTTTTCTAATTGAAATTAAAAAGCAGTCAAAATAACTTCCTTGTGCAATCTAGAGCGTTTTAACAATAAAAATCTTAAAATAATCGATTTTATGTCAAACAGGTGAATTTGCAGGACTGGAGTGCATATTCTGAATTTATTTTAGATGTTTAGATTAGCTGAAAATGAATAAGATGAATTGTAGTTTTTGAAAAAGAACTCTTATAAACATTGAAAACAGTTATCAAAGAAACATAATTTGTTATTTCTGAATTCAGTCAATTATTTTGAATTGAAAAGTTCGACACGAAATACTGTTGCAAATTTTTATAAATTTTGTTATTTTTTTTACTGGCATTCATAAAAATTACTCATAATTCATTTCATAAAAATAACTAAATTATCAAAGAAAAATTATGGTTCAGTTTTATGATATAAATATAATTACAAGTTTCAAAAGTTATTACTGAGTGAACAAATTTTAACTTTCAGAACCCCGCTGAACCTACCGGGGAACCTCAGGGTTCCGCGGAACACCATTTAGGAACCGTTAATCCATAGCATAAGATAACATAAAATCTAAAACGTAAAATATGTTAATATTCAATCAAAATGTTTTCAGGAATATCTTGAAATTATCTCAATAAAAATTATAGGAATGAGTAAATTAAAAAAAATCGAATGTAAAAACAAATGTAATTTAGAAGCTATTTTAATTGCCTATAGAATTGAAGAATATAAAAGAGTTCAAAGCCAAAAAGTCAAAACCATGAAATCCAAAAATATGAATTTCACTTTGAAGAAGTTAGTTATGAAATATTGACTAGCCACATTAAAGGGATGTGTTTTAAAAATTAAACAATAAAAAAGGAAAAAAATTAATAGCATAAGAAGGCAAATTCTTAATATTTTAAATATTATTAATTTAGTTTTCTTTTTTATTCAGAGGGCATATTCAGCAGAAATGTAGTTAAAGAGCATCATCTTTAGAATCTTTCAACATTATTGAAAAATGTATAAAAAATTGAGCACGGGAAAAATTATGTTTTGCTTTGTTTCACAAGCACTTCCTTCATACATTTTTCTTATACATGTTATATTATGCAATATCTTTGCTGTTTGGGTTTAACAGCAGAGTGACTAATAAAAAAAATATATGAAATCTACTGTTTTTAAAATAAGCAGAGAAAAAATCATTTAAAAAATAAATCACTTTTGAAAAACGATGAACAAAACAAAATGATGAACAAAACATAACAAAAATTAAAAAAAAACTTGATATAATTTATAAAAAAAACACACGATATTTGTTAGCTATCAAAATAGTACGAGTGCAGAATTAATAGACGTGCATCAATATATACCTTGCATTATTGTATACCTCTTTAATATTATGCAATATTCATATCGTCTATCACGTGTTTTACACAATCCTTTTCCGGCACAGGAATAACATTTAGCAAAAGAAAAACCCATTTTAAAAATATAAACACTCGTTTTTTCCCCAAGAAATATTTCTGAACATGAATTTCTGCCTACCATCGCTTCCTGTAGTTCTGGGAAATCATCGGAAGTAGTGAAATGCTAAAGAAATAACTAATCACGTATTTATGAATAAACATGTATGTATTTTGTTTATGTTTTATTGGAGTGAAGTTATCGAATCAGAATGAAATTTAAATAAATATAAAAATTCGAAAGTATATTTCGGGTTGAAACAATTTAAAAACAGAGAAGCATCGATTGAATATATTTAAAAGGACTATAACATTAGATGTTTAACAAAAAGCAGAAAATTATAAGCAAGTCAAAATTGTATGACATTATGCAACGAAAGAAAATATTATACGAACAATAATCGAAAATTTTCTTTAAAGAGCGATTAACATAATTATCTATCATTAATATTTAGCATATTTATCGAATTGATTTTTAATTCAATACATTCCTTTCAATCCATACCTTTGCAATCTTTGTAAGTTTTTTTTAAAAAATAATAATAAAAACCAGTTTCTATTTTGTTCAAACAATCAAAAAGTTAGAATGAAAGGGCATGGACGATTATAGTGATTAGCCCCACTTTTTTCATAGGTGGCACAAATTTAAACCGAACTTTCCCTTACTAATGCTTCTAAATATTGTTGTTTTAATTCAAGTTTTAAAAGAATTTCCAAGAGAAGCACAATACACATAAACATCTGATTGCATGCATGGTGGTATTTTTCACCAAAAATGCTCTCCTGAACATTTTTAAAATGTCATCATTATTCTATTCCAAAGTTTTTAATTAATTAACAAATATAGACAATTGTAAACAAAGCTTCATTGTAGAATAAAGTTTAAACTTTGGTTTTAATAATCAAAAATTATATCTCGATTAATATTGAATACTAATATAATGTAAATTAAATTTTCAAAAAAATTTGTCAGCTCACGAGCTAACTAAAAACTAGAATATTTTTATCATGAATGATTTAACTTGTGTAATCTTCAATATAAGTATACATTATGTAATTTATTAAATACATTAAAAATTGCAATATTATGTAATTTTCAGAAAAGTTTTATATGTTATAAAATTTAAATATCAAATATATAGTAAATCCATGTATATTTACATTGAATTAATTTTTTCCGTACAACAAAACAACGCAAACATTCTACAATATTCGAGAGTAGTTATTCATCTTGTGTTTTAAACAATACTTCTCTAAATAAATAAATAACCTAAACAGAATTATAAGGTGATATTTTTTAAACTAGTTTGGTTTTCAATGGAAAATTAGTTTAAATTTAATAAAAATTATTCATTGATTTAAAATAAATATGAGAGAATACAAATATAAATACAAATTTAAATTTACATATTCTAACATATGTTGAAATTGTAAATATATATAGATATATATTTACAATTAACTTGATGATTAAATAAATATTAAAAATTACTTTGCGAATTATATATCACTCAGATTTGTTATGTAAAAGACAAAATTTAAATTTAACTATTGAATATTAGACAAATGGTTGTTATACTGTTGAGATTTGTCATAAAAAATGCAATATTCAAATTCAAATAGATGATCAATAACTTAAAGCAGTTAATAAAGTTACAGTGTAAAACTTTTTGAATATTAGGAATTTTTATACCCATAAGATCAAGTCCCCCTCTAAAGAAATGAAAATAAAAGAATAACTGAAGAAAATTACAGAAATTAGAGCTCAGAGCAAACTTTGAATTAATAAATAATTACAAAACAATAAATACTATAAAACTGTAACATAAACTAACTATATATTATACTAACTATTTTTATAAACTCTATTGCATCAAACAGTTTTTATAATACCTAATAAACATAAACATTTATGTAAGCTATCTGAAAGTGTGTTAATACTAATTTTTGTTAATATAATATTGATTATCAATAATAAATATCATAAATAAATTACTTTTCAGAGTATTTATATTATGTAATCAATCATTTGATTCATCATAGAATTTTTTTTAAAAAGCTGTTTATGATGTGATAATCTATGTATAAAAAAACTTTTATAGAAAAGAAAGGACGAAAAAACAATAGTTCACAGCTGTTAAGCTCGAAATTTTTTTTTTTCAAACTTAGTTTTATCATTATTTATCTAATTTCATAATTTTTTTAAATTTATTTAGTGAAATTTAATAAAAAATGTCTTCGAAGGGTTATTTTAAAATTTGAGAACACTGCATTAATTTATGCACCATCGCAGCAAGCATTAGTTACAACAACAAAAAACGAGATTAGAATATTTCATTTGGAATTGAAAAATAAACAAAATCTCGTACTCACCTGGAAAAAAACTTTATCTTAATGACTTCCAAAAAAAATTCTTTAAAATTCAAACGATAACCACATAATTACACATCGATAAAAATATAAACAATATAATCGATGAGTAAATAATTTCACTGAAGAAAATTTCAAAATAAAAACGCTTTTCACACTTTTATATTCAAAATTGTAAAAACGATCTCACGATTTCCGAAATAAAAACGAAGAGCGCGTCTCATGAGTCGTCGAGAAAGAACAGATGATCTTACTTCTTCCACGGGATTAAGCAAGATTTCACCGATCGTTTGACAAGCAAGCGACCGCCAATGGCAATTGTGGGGGAGGATCTTCGGTGTGTGCCGAAAGAACCGGATGAGATAGGAAGAAGGGATACAGGTGGTGGATCGTTTTCAAGTTTTAAGGATAGCTGGGAAAAGATTAGAAAATTATCCATAGAGAATTTTAGTATTTTCACTTATCTGATTACTTTTTGTACAAGAAAAGGTAAATTACCTGATTACTTGATAAGAACAGGCGTAGTTTACAGATAGTAAACATGTAAAGGTGTATTCTTATGTTTATTAATTTTATTTATTTTCTTCCGAAAAGTTTCTCATCTTGCTTGTTTATCGCTAGTATGAGTAATAATGGTATTTTAAGGTAATTTTCCCCATGTTATACACAGAAAAACTCATATTCATATTTTCGTTAAGAAATATTTTACAAGAAATATGAAAATTATATTTGAGATTATTCCCATTTTGCAAACTATTGCAGTGATGTAGTTTGTTAAAAATTCCTTCGCGTGCCATAATTTATTCAAAAGTAAAAATTTAAATTATGAAAAAGAATTAATCTGTTTAAGAAGAAGATTTTATAAACTGTGCTTTTTCAGATTCTAAACTTCATATTTAAACATTTTTTTAGGTAATAAATTTTGACTATATTTTGCCAGTAGGTAGGTAAGTACTTTATTTTCGTCACACTAGAATTGCACAATAGGCTATTGGCGACGGTCTGGGAAACATCCCTCAGGATGATCCGAAGACATTCCATTGAAATGTTGATCTGCTGCTGACGGAAGGCTCCCCTGCCTTAGTAGCCCGATGACCTGCGCGCGAAGTTAGCACATTACGGTAGAACAATTTAACGCTGGCCGATACCGCGCACCCTCGGCCCCTACGCAGGCTGATCAAAGTGGTCACCCAACTGCTTACTGACCGCAGCCAGTGATGCTTCGGTGTTCTACTGGGAACCGTGTCTTTACGATCAGTTCACTGCGGGACCATATTTTGCAAGTTAAGCAAAATTGATTTAAATTTAATACATTTATTATCAAAAATATAATACCAACATTTGAATTACATTTCATCCCAAAAAGTTTTTTTTTATTGCATTTATTTAGTCTACATATACAAGCTTGTATGCTCAATATTAAGAGCGCTTTTTAAACCCTAGTTAAACAGAACAGATTGCTCAATTTAGAGAAAAACAGCACCAGAATCGTTTTCTAGCTAAATTTTCTAAAAAGTTGTAAAAAGACACACACACAAACAAAAGAAAAAGGTAACAAATTATTTTATAGCAAACTTTTATAAGTTGAGCAAAACGTTTAAAGTTTTAAAAAAAAGGTTGAAAGACTAATTGCCTTGAAATGTATAAAATAGGTATCGGGTTCGCGCACTTTTGTCAATAAAAATCGCCAGCATTTGCATACGCGTACTAGCTAATAACTCGCAAAGTGTTTATTTTAAAGTCGATGCTTTGCTTAATTGAAGCAGGCCAATTATTTCAATTGTTTTAATTATTAAAGTATTTATTCAATTATTAATAATTTCAAAAACTGAGTAAGACTAAGGGACTGGTTTGCGAAATTAAAAAAAAGTCTCGGGTTCGTGTCATGAAGTCGCTTATGAACTCAGCGTTTATAAGGGAATAGCTTAAAATTTCTTTGTATTTCAACAAATAAAGTCACAAATTTATTTCTCGGAATCCTTAAAGAGCAGGAGAATTCACGAGCTGCAGAACTGGAGACTTCAACAACGTTGCTACTATCTGGAAAAATTGAAAAGTGGTAGACACTTTTAAAAAAAGTGAAATAGTTTAACGAAATAACATCTACCAACTAATATTTGTAGTCTAAGAGAGAAATGTATCTAGATGGGAAAACTGAGTATCCGAATTTCTAAAATTAAAGTAAAATTAAAATTTTGTTCAACATCATGAAACATCTGCCACCGCTTTTTAAGATTTTAACTTTTTTTTGTAGCTTAATTGTCTGAAAAGAAATATTTAAAACATTGATAAAAGAATTAACGTTTAACCGCAGACGATAAACTTCGCAAACTTTGAAGGTATTTGAATAGGGCTCCAAAAGCTCCGTGCCGTGGAACATTGATAGATCGGTTGTTATCGAGAGGCAGAGAAGAGTTAGAATCGATAAAATTTAACCTTGTCAGACGATAATTTAATAAATACATTAAAATAAATTCTTAAAATTTATTATTTCTCAGCCGGTATGGCAACTCTTTTCTACAAAATATTTGTCTGATATGATAGCACATTAGCACCTGTGACCAAAGACAGTGATGCATTCCATCGTTTCAGTACGCTTAAATTAACAAAATGTTACTTATTTATTTTTAGTTACCTAAAAAATCAAAATGCTACAATTAAACTCATTGCACATTAGTCGATATAATCAATTATTAATCACATAGAAAGAATAGAAGGAATCAAACGGTTTAAAATATTATTACAATGAAGAAAATTTACTTAATACCATTTATTTATTTTTCAATATATAAAAAATCAAGTCAATACAATCAAACAATCAAGGATTTAGCAAATAGAATTATTAATAAATTACTTAATAGAATGAGCAAACTTTTGAATTTAAAAGATATGATGACCGGAAATGCCCCTATTATCTAGGTAAATTCGTGGAAAACTCTTGATTCCGCATTTCAACGGATTACCAAAGTTAATCTGCAAATTAGCTAGGTATGTCTATATTAACGGCTTTTTGAGCTTTAGTGGTAACAGCTACACATTTCTAGTGGTTAGTAATATTTTTAGAATAAGTGTTCCCAGTCTGCTACGGAAACATAAATTTTGTAATTCAAAAACTTGAAGCAAAGTTCTGACAAATGCATAAACACAACATAAATATTATTTTTTTAAACATCGAATGAAGAATTTGATTAAGTACGCTTTTAGTTTTTACTAAGCAGCTCTTAAGTGGTATCTTCAAAAATTCCACATGACTGTATTATTTTCAAAACGCCATTCGGCTAGTGGAACTTTTATCCTGTTCTGTTAATGTCTGTTAATTTTAAATGTCACAAATTTTTAAAATGTTTAATTTGCTTTGAAAATATGTTTTTAATATGAAATCCCCCCCCCCTGTGTTTATGAATAATTTTTTAAAAAAATAAAAAATGGATTCGATTTACTTCCTGCCCAGGTTTGTCGATTTAAATCGTCCTCAAAAATATTTAACTGTTTTTTTTTACTTTTCTTCTTCTTTTTTTTTTTTTTTTACTGCCTATTAGGGTTTGCTAAGTTAAATCGTGATTAAATTACGATTTAAATCAATTACTTAGAAAAAATATTGATATAAAACTGAGGATTTTTAAAATAAATCATCATTTTAAAAAGGAATGATTTCATACTAACATATTTAAAGTTTTTAATGAATTAAGAAGTTTTAAATTTATTGCAGATGCAAGCAAAAGATAAATTTAAATTAAATTTATTATTATTTTGAAGTTAAATTTATTTAGAGACAATATAATATAAGATTATTATATTAATATTATAAAGTTAAATTTATTTAGTAAAAATACATCATAAAGACATTGCAAGTGCAATGACGAGTTAAATCGTCATAGGTGAACAACGTGTGGGTGTGAAAAAATGAGTTAACTCTTTATCGGTCAACAATGTGCCAACAAATTTTTTAACCCTTTATTTACATGGAATACTTCAACACTTAACTCCCGTAGTTTTTTTTTGTGGACAGGTAATTTTTTCAAAAGATGTAAACAGAGCAGTGGTGGTTCAGAGGGGATAGAGCCCTTGCCCCCAAATGAGGTGACTCAGGCTCGAATCCCACAGACCAGATACGAATTCCGTCGGAGGTTTTCATGATTTTCTTTTCAGGTAACGCTAGTGCGGGTTCCCTGTCTTTTGGATTGGGTTCTAAATTATAAGGCTACGGAATTGAACATTGGTAGTCGCAGACTCAAAATTGGATCGGCTGTTCAATGACGATTATAACGGTACTGTACTTTATAAATACTTCACGCTAGAGCTGCGCATGGGCTATTGGCGATGGGCTGAGAAACATCCTCCGGAGACTACATACGCACGTCACATCCCATTTTACAGAGAGGACACATTCACACAGCCTGGTTGGTAGGGCACTGGGCCCATGTTCAAGAGTTCGTGGGTTCGATCCCCGGCCGAAGACATCGTGTAGTAAATGGGGACTGAAGCACGTTAAATCTGTCGAGTCACAAAGTCCTCCGTGTTCTCATAACAAATCATATATCTGGGATATAGATCCAGGAGTTTCCTTGTCTTCTGGATTGGTTCAAAACTACAAGACTACGGATTTGAACATTAGTATCCGTAAACCCAACATTGGGTCGGCTGTTCAACGACGGATATAAAACTATCCATATCCTTCATCAGATCGTAATTTTTACCTGAACTTGAGTTCGATCAATCTCCAATCCAGTACCCCAGAGGTACTTATTTGTTATGTGAACTAGAAGGACTTAGTTACCCTGACAGATTAAGCGTGCACCAGTCACCAATTTGTACATGGGGTGTCTTCGGCCAGCAGGGATCGAACTCACGTCCTCTCGTACATGCCCTACCAGCCAAGCTATCCGGGCCCTCGATGGTTATAAAGGATGTAAACAGTAATAGTAATATAAATTCGATATGAATATTTATTTGGGTTAAAATATTCCTAACGGAGCTTCAAAGGCTCTTTCGTCACATAAAATTACGCTTTTATCTGAATAATATGTTGTTCTTACAACTGCATTGAGTTTACAAATTTATTCATGATTCTTAGGTCAAGGTAAGCTCATCTTTTGTAAGCTATGCTTATTCTGGAAACAGTGCGAACCGTCAACATGAGGAAAAGCAACATTTTTGTTTTTTATTCTCTTATGATCCAATTATTTAATATTTTAAAAGTTACTCTAACGCTGTATTATAATTCGCAAAAACTTGAGAAATTTTGATTGATTTAATTCATTGAAAACTGGCCATTTAAAAAAAAAAAGATTTAATAACTCTTAAAACAAAGTTATTAATTGCCCGCTTTCTTTCTTATTGGATGATTTCCAGTGGACAGGTAAGTGAAATGATGTCAGCTTAGACACATCTTTACTTTTCTTAGC